TCCCCCTATTTTTAAAAACCAGTAACCATGTCATCGGCAAATTACTGCCTCTTTTCAAATATCTGTTCCTAAATATATTTTTTACCCATTACATAAACTAGAACTTGCAAAACAAATTAAGACACAGGCTAAATCCCCCTTATCCAAAATGCTTGAGACTAAAATTATTACAGATTTTGGAGTCTGTTGTATTTTGAAACATTTGCATAGACTTTACCAGCTAATCATTATCCCTGGTCCCAAAAATCAGAAATCCAAAATCTGAAACTGAATGCCATGTTGGTGCTTTAAAGTTTCGGTTATGTGGCACATGCCTGCAATCCCAGCACCTGAGAGGCAGAACCAGGAAAATCACCTGAGCTACACAGCACTTCCAAGTGACCCTGGGGCCTGAAACAAGAGTATGGGTATAGCTCAGGGGCAGAACACTTGCTCAGCATATGTAGGTCTCTGGATTTGATCTCCTACTCTTTAAAAAGACTTGGCACTCAGACCATTCTGGACTGGAGATTTCCAGATTAGGGATGCTAAACTTGGAATAGCACTGATGATGGATACCATATATGCTGGATATTTTGATTTCTACTCCTAAACCCTAACCCCATCCTTCTCTATTAGGTATGCTTAGAGCTGGCCTATATGGATTACTGCCATTAAATGTACCCAAAAATAGCAGCTAAAGAGAAGTCAGTAGGAGAATAAAGCTGACTAACTCCGAGTCCCTCACTCTCCCAACACTGCCAGAATGCTTTCACCTCAGCTGCTGTAAGATCGACCTGGGGGCTGGAGAGACAGGTCAGTGGTTAAGAACACTGGTTGTTCTTGTAGAAGACCTGGGTTCAAATCCCATCACCCACATGGCAGCTAACAACTGTCTGTAACTCCAGTTCCAGGGGATCCGACAGCCTCTTCTGTCCTCCACAGGCACTGCACAACACGGGTGCACTTACCTACATGCAGGCAATACAAGCATACACATAAAATAAAAATAAATAATTTTTTTTTAAAAAAAGATCAGCCTCTCTACCACTACAGCTTCTACAGCTACAGCTCTAACTGCCCTCTCCAAGACCCAGCAACAGGACCCACTCTGTTCATCAACTGCATCCACAGGATGATGATATTGTAGCTATCTGGGGTCTTCTCAAGGGGAAATGATGGATTGTTGGATTATCTTATATTAAATCAGTTTTTATTCATATTTAAGATTCAATCAGCATTAAGCTTTAAATATACTCATGACATCATTCGATAGTTAATTAGACTTTCAGTCTCTGGCAAAAGAACTACCTGAAGTCTTCATCAATTCATACAGGAGTTTTGTTATTATCTACTCTTGCTAAAGTATGTTAAGAGAATGACGCTGTTCTCTTTTTCCACAGTTAAACCACGTTTAGCCATCCCAAGCCTCCATGTTCTCTTCTATTTTATGGCTGTGATGCATACTGCCTTCCACTATAAAGCTAATTCCCCAAACTGAAACACTCCTCTGAGAGATGAGGGAGGCTCAGAAGACTTGGAAAGCAAATGCAACTTACAAGGCTGAGAAAGCACCTGAAAGTTACAAGATTCAAGGTTCTCCCCAAGGTTACAAAAGCAGGAACGGGTGCTGAGGAGACTGACCAGCTATGCTACCAAGTCATGCAGGATGCTCCAGGGATGCAGTTTACGTGAACTCCTGCCCAAGCTGGGATGCAGCTGCTTCTGAGGTACCCATAACCCTGTAAGGAATGCCATTAAACTCCTGGTTTATTAAGTTGGACTTGGATGAAGTCATTTCTTTGGTCTGTTGTTAATATCCTACCTGGGATGAAGATGTTTGTTCACATCTCCCCAGGAAAAGTCAACAACACTTTCTCACCATCTATATTATTAATTTGCTTCTCACACCGACGATTTTCTTCCCTCGCTATGGTGGTTTGAGTGAGAATGTCCCTCACAGGCACACTTTGTTCCCAGTTGGTGGCGCTGTTTTGGGAGGTTTTAGGAGGTATGGCCTTGCTGGAGGAAGCACACCACTGGGGGTGGCTTTGCGAGTTCCAGGTTTCCAGTCTCCCTCTGCTTCCTGTGCCTCCTTGAAGATGTGATTGCGAGGCTCTCTGATTTGGCCAGTCTTTTTGTTGTGCCTTCCTGTGATGGACACTAACTGTCTGGAATCACAAGCTCGAATAAGCGCTTCCTTTTATAAATTCCCTTGGTCATGGTGTATTTTTTCACAGCAACAGAAAAGTAACTAATGTGCCCCACTAAATGCCACCTTCGTGCAGGGAACATCTTTAACTTTCTGAGGCATTCCACATACCTAACATACCTAAAGTAAAGCCTGACACATGCAACTCTATGTGTAAATGAGCAAATAAAGCCTGGGTCCACCCCACTCCTCCGCATCTCAGAACAGCACTGTCACATGACTCTGCCTCCTCCACCCCGCGCCTTCCTTTCCACTGTGAGCTCCTCCTTCATTGCCTGTCAGTCACGTCTCACTTCCCGAAATCCACCAGCTTTATCACTACTGCTTTCTCCACTCTCTTCCCTTTCTAACAGAAATTCCTTTACAAATTTCCCCTGTGCCTTTAGTAACTTTTTCCAGCTTTCCATAACTGTTTTAGTTACTCTGTGCTAGACAGCTTTGGTCAACTTAATACACACTAGAACCTGGGAAGAAGGAACCTCAAGTGAGGAATTTCCTCCATCAGATCAGCCAGCAAGCATGACTGTGAAGCATATTAACTGATGTGGGAGGGCCCGGACCATGGTGGGCAGTGCCAACCCTGCACAGGTGGTCTGGACTGTATAAGAAAGGTAGCTGAGCAAGCCAGGGAAAGCAAGTCAGGAAGCAGCACTCCTCACTGGTCTCTGCTTCAGCTCCTGCCTCCAGGTTCCTGCCCTGAGTTCCTGCCAAGACGGATTGTGCCTTGGAAGTGTAAGATGCAATAACCATTTCCTCCCCAAATTGCTGTTTGGTTGTGTTGTTTATCCCAGCAATAGAAACCAAACTAAGACATATTCCTTCTCTACTTTTGAGCCTAGTATTTGCTTTTAAAAAAAAATAGAGTAAATCCTGGTTCAGTCCTCCCCTTCCACCAGCCCATGATTAGAATGGCCTCTCCAACCTTCAGCTGCACAGATGAGTAGCAGAGCTTTTACCACTTTGAGTGCTTTAAGAGCCTGGTGCACACAAGAAAGGAGGGAATTCTTGGCACCCAGATATTTTCCATATGAATTTTGACACAGGATCTCACTATGTACCCGGCCCTGCTTGGCCTCAAACACAGATTCTTCTGCCTCAGCCTTCTAAGTGACAGGTTATAGGCACGTGCACCACACCCAGATCTCCCGGGTGGAGTCCTCATCTGTACTTTGTTCAGACTGCTATCTCCCCCATCCACAGTCAGGCTCAGCTTCTGCTCAGCCAGTGCACAGAGGCTAGAGTCAGCTGTTTGAAGGACAAAGTCATGTGAGCAACAATGATGACCAGCATCAGAAGGAAGCCCAGTCACCCAAGGGTCCTCTACCTTAATGACTGTTGAAAGAACTTCTGAGATGAGGCCATGGGTCCCCTCTGTGCCCAGATTTCCTGACTTCAAAATCCCACTCAGGAATTTGGCTAGCTGACCTTAGGTTCCCCATCCATAAATGGAATGAGTACTTACACCTCATTAGACTGAGCAGTAAGTGTGGTGACACAGTTAAAGGACCTCGACAGTGTTTATATATCAAAAGAGCTTATTAATGTACAGTACTCCTCCTCCTCTATTACCTCCTACTTATTAATGTACAGTACTCCCCCCTCCTCCATTACCTCCTACTTATTAATGTACAGTACTCCCCCTTCTCCATTACCTTCTACTTATTAATGTACAGTACTCCTCCTCCTCTATTACCTCCTACTTATTAATGTACAGTACTCCCCCCCTCCTCTATTACCTCCTACTTTTTAATGTACAGTACTCCCCCTCCTCTATTACTTTCATCACCATAAAACTGGGTTGTTAATAGGAATTTGTCAAGATTTCTTCCTTTGACAACATGGCAGTGCAGTACTTCTTTAAACAGTGGTTCATCAGGAATTTGTTCATAGCCTCCTTCCGTCTACTCCAATCTGCACTCAATCTAGTGAGAAGTCTGTCCATGTTCTGTCTTTTGTTCTACTAACTGCATGACAGAACAGTACACCTAAATGCTGCCTTCAAAGCTCCCTGGGATAACAATTTAAAATGGACTTCTGCATGGTGTATTTCAGAGAACAATAAAAAACTTTTCCTATTTTTAAAACATATACATCAGTACCTGTTCTAGCTTGTTTCTCCATTTCCCTGACAAAACACTCTGGCCAATACCAACTTGGGGAGGAAAGGGCTTATTCAGCTTACATCCTCCGGTCACAGTTCATTAGGGAGCCCACAGTAGAAACTCAGGGCAGGAACCTGGAAGCAGGAGGTGGAGCACAGGCCATGGAGGAACACTGCTTACTGGCTTGCTCCCCTGGCTTATGCTCAGCCTGCTTTTTTATACAACACAGGCCCACGTGCCCAGGGGTGGCACCACCCACAGTGGGCTGGGCCCTCCCACATCACTCAATAAAGAAGATGCTTCACAGACATGGCCACAGGCCAGTCCAACGGAGGCAATTCCCCAACTGAGGCTCCCTCAACCCAGGTGTGTCAAACTGACACTAAAGCTGTCCAGTACAGTACCCCTCAGACTTTAGGAACACTGATCTGATGATGGATAAATGGCTCAGTGGTTAAGATACCTTGCAGCTCTTCCAGAGGACCCAAGTTTGGTTCCCAGACCTACATCAGGCAGCTCACAACTGCCTGTAACTCCAGTTCCAGGGGATCCAATGACCTCCTCTGGCCTCTCTCAGCACCTGCACACACACACACACACACACACACACACACATACACACACACATACATATAAAATCTTCGGGAAAAAAAGGAGCACTAATCTGCAATACCGTATTATGAGAAATAAAAGGCTCGGTTACTTACGATGCCCCTGAGTTCATGATGCAGCTCTTTGCCCCACAGAAACACTCTCTTCCATCATCATGATTCATTCCAAGGTTATGACCCAACTCATGAGCGACAATGGATGCAAATGTCTCCACAGTGATTTGTCCAAACTGAACAAAAGGAAATATTTTCTCTGTCCTATTAATGTTTTCACAAAAGGAAATGTGTCTACTTCAATGTTAACAATCTGATTAATAAACCAAACATTCAACAATGGCCTTTATACATCTCAGTCTAATAAGAAACTGGGATGAGTCATATACTGATAATAAAGCTGGATATTTTAAGCAGCAGATCAATCACTTTAGCATAAATAGATTATTCATGGTAGCTTATGAGAAAACAAATTGATTTCTTTGAAATGGAGCCTATTTCCTCATTCAGAAAAAGATAAAATCAGCACATAAAAAGTATTTAGCCCGAAGTGGGGGCGCAAGTCTTTAATCCCAGCACTCAGGAGACAGAAGCAGGCAGATTTCTGTGAATTCAAGGCCAACCTAGTCTACATAGCAAGTTCCAGGCCAGCTGGGCTACAAGGAGTCCCTGTCTCAAAAAGACAAAAAAAAAAAAAAAAGGAAAAGAAAAAGAAAACTTGACTGCGTCTCTGGGGAAAGAACACATCTGCCACTCCTGCTGTGGGCACCTATGCAGACATAGCACACAAGTCTACACATAAATAAAAACTGCAACTCCTCCTTCACAATACCCAAAATATCATTGTAAGGACCTGGGGGAGAGGCACAGGGTCACTAAATGCTGAAGCCTGTCCTAATGCAGATATCCAAAACTGTGCTTAAAGAACAACATACCACATTGATCCCGCCCGCATGGCTCCTTGAACACACTGTTCCCACAAATGCCATTCCTGCGGTTCCACCAAAGCCTTTCTTCCTAAATAAAAAGATAATGTTATAGAATGTACTTGAAGAAAAAAGAAACATTAGTCATGTGTGTGTGTGTGTGTGTGATCTTAAACTAGGAGAAAAATAACAAAAATAATATTTTATCTTATTATGAGAGAATGGTATTACAAATGTAGCTTTTTAAATTATTCCAGACAGATGATGACACCTTTACCAAGCCAAGTCTGGGATTTTTCCTTAGTAGAGATTACCTTCTAGGTAAAAATCTTCTAACCGGGCATAGTGGCACATGCCTTTAATCCCAGCACTCAGGAGGCAGAGGCAGGCAGATCCCTGTGAGTTCAAGGCCAGCCTGTTCTACACAGTGAGTTCCAGGACAGCTGGGGCTACAGGAAGACCCTGTCTCAAAAAGACCAAAGGAAAAAAACAAACTTCTAAAAAATAGATTACATTTATTCATTCAAAAATGTGAATGAAAAGAGACAACAACCCAATAAATATATTCATAGGAGAGGTCTTCAAATTCTGAAGAAACATGCTCCCATTCCCAGAATTTTATACCCAGCCAAACAAAAAAAGTTATAAACACCAGAAAGCACAAGTTAGAAACTTGGTTAGGAAAGCTTTTCTTTGCATGCAGCTGTTCACAAACAACTATGAAACACGCCATAGCACTGCAACAAGGAGAGGAAAAGAGAAAGATGAAGAGGACTGAAACACGAATGCCCCTAAACCTACTCGAGTACAACACCACGCTAACAAAGTTAGCAAAATCTGCTTTTCTGATCAATTCATTCACGGTTCTAAATCACAGTGATTCATCACACCCAGTTTTTAAGAATCACTTACAGAACTAACTGTGCACTGTCGTGTCTCCGGCGGGTTATGAGAAACTTTTCCCGCCACTGTACAAAGTTCCCCAGCACATCACCAGCACCTCCAATTATACTGATCAGGTTTCCATTTGTCCAAATTTCCAAACCAACTAGGACAATTCGAATATTTAGCATAATATACATCTGGGAAGAAAACAGAAATAAAATATCTAAAATACATTAAAGATTATGAAAAAAATGGGCAGGGGAGACAGGATAGAGCCTCATGTCGTAGCCTTGAATTTTCTACGTGCCACCATATCCAGTGAGAAAAAACAAGTATTTATGAAGTAAAGTAACTAATAAGAACGCCCTCTATTCAAAAATAAAAAAATCTTTCCTCTGAAATTTCTCAAAATAAAACTTCATCCTTCATCCATGAATGATACAGAACCAGAATTCATACTCCTTTTTATCTCCCATCGTAAAATCCGACACAGGCTCGAATTAGGTCTTGAGTAAATTTCATTCCTAAACTTGCCCTATTTGCAGTCTACTCATCCCATGGGGTGGTTTGATTGTGAACAGCCCTAAAGGCCCCTGTGTTAGTAGCTTTGTGTCCCCAGTGACACTGAGGGGTGGGGCCTGGTGGAAGGCCTTCAGGTCACTGAAGACTTACATGTAGAACACTGTGGAACCCCAGCCTCTTCCCCTTCCTCTCTCTTATTTACTAGTCATGAGGTGAGTGATTCTGCTTCATTACACAGTCCCTCCAAGAACACTGCCTCATCACAGGCCCTACACAAGAGAGTCGATGAATCATGAACAGAAACCTCTCAAACCATGAATCAAAATAAACCTTTTCTGGTGCTGTAGAGAAGGCTCAGCAGTTAAGAGCATTGACTGCTCTTGCAGAGGACCCAGGTTCGATTCCCAGCACCCACATTGCGGCTAACAGCTGCCCGTATCTCCAGTTCCAGGGGATCTGATGCCCTCTTCTGACTCTGCAGCCATTGCTTGATACAGGTGCACGTTTACACATATGCAGAGAATACATTCATACACATAAAATAAAAATAAGTTAAAAGTATTCAAAATAAAAATAAATAAACCTTTTCTCTTTATAAGATAAATATCTCAAGTATTTCATCATAGTGGTGGAAAGCTTAACATAAATATTCAGGCATTTTACAGCCGAAATATCAATATATGTGATCACAATGTACTACCACATGATCTGCTGTTGTTATATAATTCACAGTGAACAACAGAACATTTCTAAACACTTTCTAAACTTCTAATCAGTTACTCCAAAGTTTTCAGACCGTGCATTACAGAACTCATGACTGTTCTATAGCAAGACTGTGAGACGCACGTTAATAAATACAAAGCATCAGGCTCTGCTTTTAATTTCATTTTATCTATCATTTATGGGCATGGGGGACATGTGCCACTGGACACCTGTGGAGGTCAGAGGTCAGAGGACAACAATGATTCTCTCTTCCCACCATGTGAATCCTGGGGATCAAACTCTAGTCATCAGGCTTGGCAGCAGGCACCTTTGCCCTAAGCTAGCTCACCAGCTCCCATGCTCCACTAGACCACTGTGAATACTCAGTGGAATGCGGCTATCATTGCCATTACACCAGGGTTCACCACACAAATGAATGCTACACAGATATAATTTTGTATGAACATGTTGGATACTAGTATAAAATCTTTCCCTCTTCTCAAAATGTGTCTATACTTAACACTTATTATAAAACATTTAGGCACATGATGATCACAGCTCATTTGACACATTTTTTTAATTATTTGTTTTATGTCTATGAGTGTTTTGCCTGCATGTATGTAAGCACACCACTGTTGTAGAATGCCTATAAAGGCCAGAATAGGGCATCAGATCCCCTGGAACTGGAGTTATAGATGGTTGTTAACTACCATGTGGGTATTGGGAACTGAACAGCAGAGCCATCTCTCCAGCCTTAATTTAACCCATTTTTAGGTGCTGCTCTCAGACTGTGAAGGGGCAGGAGAGAATAATCCCAGCTGAAAGAAATATAGCTTACGCTATCCAAATAGTTTGCTAAGCGAATCATCTCTTCTCTCACCGCAGTCTGATTTCTTCCCATCATGTCATACTGAAAAACAAAGGAAAGCCATGATCACCAGAGAAACGGAATAAAGACACCTGCAGTCTCTTAATAAACCAATAGATTTCCTAATCCTTTCACTTCTTAGGATAGTGGCATTCATTACCAATAAGCCAGGGCTACAGTCATAACGAGAGCTCAATCCATGGCCACTAGCTGAAGAATTATATGTGGCTACAGAAATACATAAAATTTTAACCAAAATAAAACAAATACTGGATATGTCTTGTTTTTATATCTGGCTACATCTGAATGTATTGAATGTATACTTGGATGTTACCTTAAACAATCAACTTCCTAACAAAAGGGAACTCTCCTTACAGAGTTTAAGACTTCATGACAAAGGCCTTAAAAAGAGAATACATGATTGCATCAGTTAAAGAAAAACCTAATTTCAAGGATCTTGAGGAAAATGGAACCATGTTCCATCTGAATATAACAAATCTATCTGGAGACAACAGTAGGGGAATACTTTAAGTCTCTGTGTTCGTCACTTATCCAGAGCGGCTGCTAGACCTGCGCTCTCACTGCTCACACTCCCTTTATGCAGAAGATGATGACCAATCTGAGTGCACTGCCGTATCTTACTAACTGCAGCTTTTACCAACCTATACAATATGAATTTCAAAACTGGGGGGAGGTCTTCAAAATGGTCTCACCAGCTTATAAGAAAAGAACTGCCAATTCAATTGTTTCTACAAGTAACTTTTAATGCAAACAAGAAAGTTAAAATTAAAAGTCACCCAAAATGTTTCCAGTATCTATTTTTTAATTCATGTAGGAGCTGTATCAAAAACTGGTGATCTACTGGTCATGGTGACACCTTTAGTTCCAGCGCTTGGGAGGCAGAGGGAAGTGGATATCTGTGAGATCGAGGCCAACCTGGTCTACATAGTGAGTTCCAGGCCAGCTGTGGCAACAAGGAGACCTGCCTCAAAAACAATCAGACAGACAAAAGAAACTCGATGTCCCTATGGAGGCTGGGAAGAACGCAGCACTTCTCTCCATTAAGTAAAGCCACTAGCTTAGCCTTTCAAGCACTAAGAAAACGTCCTGGTGGTGTCGTGCATTCTGAAAATAATACTCCTAAAGCATGCCAATTCTGTGTCTCTTCAAGTGAAGTATAGTTTAGCTGAAATTCCACAAAGCAAATCAATCTATAAGGCAACACCAGATGTCCTTGGTTTGCATATACAGCCCATAAAACTAATCTGAAAAGTTCTCAAAACCCCAAGTAACACACTGACAGGACAGCTTCACCTGAAAACCTCAGCATCCTAGAAAAGAACAGGACCGCTCACTCCTGCAATCCCATCACTCAGGAGGCTGAGGCCAGAGGACTATGAGCTCAAGACCAGTCTGGCTCAAGACCATGAGAAGCTATCTCAAAAGGACAAAAAAAAAGGGAGGAAAGCACCACTTTGGTCTAATTACCACTTAATTCAATGCAGCGCCTAGTCAAGTTCCTCGTCATGTTCCTCATCATGCTACAAGTCATGCTCCTCGTCATGCCCCTCGTCATGCTACAAGTCATGCTCCTCGTCATGCTACAAGTCATGCTCGTCAAGCTACTCGTCAAGCTACTCATCATGTCCCTCGTCATGCCCCTCGCCATGCCCCTCGTCATGCTACAAGTCATGCTCCTCATCAAGCTATTCGTCATGCTCGTCAAGCTACTCATCATGCTCCTCGTCATACCCCTCGTCATGCCCCTCATCATGCTACAAGTCATGCTCCTCGTCAAGCTACTCGTCATGCTCCTCATCATGCTCCTCGTCATGCCCCTCATCATGCTCCTCGTCATGCCCCTCATCATGCTCCTGGTCATGTTCGTCATGCTCCTCATCAAGCTCCTCGTCAAGCTCCTCATCATGCTACTCGTCATGCTCCTCGTCAAGCTCCTCGTCATGCTCCTCATCAAGCTCCTCGTCATGCTCCTGGTCATGCTTCGTGTTTGCGTCACAAGCTGCTCACTTGCCATCTGCTTTTCATGAAAAGGAAAAGATGTGCCACCACTCCTACCCTTTCTTTGTCTACAACGATGAACAGCTCCACATAGCGGGTCTGTGGCAGAACAGCTCTTCTTCTCTGTGAAAAACACAAATACCATAAAAGCAGAGGTTTATTATGAGGCTGGACACATTTTGTATGAATAACAATGAGACCATAATATCTAGTTATGTAATTTCATGTTTTCTTACAACATTATAAATTCTTACTTAGCATACCCTATGTCATAACACCAAAATAATTTTTTTAAATAAGAAAGCGCTAACTGCTGTCAATATTGGCCAGGGAAAAATTTCACTTCGAGATAGAATGGGTTATGTTTTCAAAGCATAACTGGTTGTTGTTTTCATTGAAACACATATTATACACACCTTTTAATGGGAAACCTGATCATGATGGTGCGAAAGAAAAACAGCCCCTGAAACCCAAGAGCTAAAGATGGAATGAGGCCACCACTTCAAAACATGGCTCAGTTTGACCTTTTGTGGAAATCCAAGCAAAAGAGAGTAAGTAAACACCGAGTAACGTTCCAGTAGTCGAGTGCAGGGCAGAAGAGGCAACGAAGGCAATGCCACAGACCAATGTGAGTTTACTTTGAACATGCCTTCTTCCAGCACTACTGTATATGGCTCTGGTCCCAGCTGCCGGAAGAGTCCCTTGAGCCTAGGCACTCAAGACCAGCCTAGGCAATGAAGCAAGACTCAACCTCAAAAAACAAACTGTGCCTCTTCCAGCATGGCGGCTGTGCTGGATAGCTTTAGTGTCAACTTGACACACCTGGGATGAGGGAGCCTCAATTGGGGAATTTCCTCTATTGGACTGGCCTGTGGCCATGTCTGAGGGGCATCTTCTTGATGAGTGATGTGGGAAGGCCCAGCCCACTGTGGGTGGTGCCACCCCTGGGCAGGTGGGCCTGTGTTGCATAAGAAAGCAGGCTGAGCAGGGGCCAGGAAAGCAAGCCAGTAAGCAGTGTTCCTCCACGGCCTGTGCTCCAGCACCTGCTTCCAGGTTCCTGCCCTGAGTTCCTACCTTGGGCTCCCTGATGAACTATAACCTGGGACATGTAAGCTGAATAAACCCTTTCCTCCCCAAGTTGGTAGTGGTCAGAGTGTTTTGTCACAGCAATGGAGAAACAAACTAGTACAGCGGCACCAGGCCACTTGTAGAGAAAAAACATCCTGTCTAGAGCCAGCCAGCCCTGGAAGCTCTGCTGCCTTAAAGTGCCACAACTGGAACAAGCCATGCAGCCTCAAGAAGCCTCAACAATGGGGACAGGAGTGCCCCTGAAAGGTAGCCAAATGACCCTGATCGAGCAGTTGATCTCGATCTCTTGATCGCTCTCTCTCTCTCTCTCTCTCTCTCTCTCTCTCTCTCTCTGTCTCTCTCTCCTTCTTCTCCAATCTAGAGCTCAAGAGGTATCTAAATAAAACCTCTATTGTTCCCTGAACAGCAGCATAATATACTACTATGCATCAATGCCAAATATGATTACTGTTTAAGACCTAAATTCCCATTTCCAAAATTCATAAAATCTAAATTCCCCTTAAATTTAGCAGGAACTCCATCACTCATCTTTTTATACCTGGTTCCTGTCACAGTCTGGCATGTGTCCAGGGAAAAATATGATAAGCAGCATTTTGGTGTGTAAATAAATGGTTTCTTAAGAACAGCATGCACTCTAAAGAATGCTAGCTTCCTTACACGTAGGAACTGAGACAAGCTGGAATGCTCTTCCTCAACATCCTTCACGGCTTCCGTCTCTGTGTCCTGGTTAGAAACTCCGCATCTCAGAGGCTCTTTGTGGACATCATCCATTCGATAAAATACATGTTCAAATTGAGAGCTGTTGTGCAGAGGTTCAATCCCAAAACTGGCATTCTCGAAATGGAGCAATCCTCTAAGTATTGCATTACACATATACCATTGGTGGGAAAAAAAAAAAAAAAAAAAACACGTAAGGAGTCAGAAACCCAAATTCAAGTCCTAGTTCTAACACACATAAGCAGGGATTGAACAATAAATAGAGGCCTTAGAGTCTAGCGGACATGATCATAGAACGTTCAAATCTGCCGCTTACTTGCTCCACAGCCTGTAGGTGAGCCAGTCAATGCCAGCATGCAGGCTCTGCAGAGCGGCCGCATGAGAGCTGAGAATGTTTTCTACCAGCCTCCAACTCTCAGTAAGTCATTCCCTTCTGCTTTAGTATATAATCTGCATAGGTTTATTCCTGCTAAGCAATTTAATATGCATAAAACACTAAGACTGCTTCCTGGCGCACGGCGGTGTTATTACTTAAATGAAGACAGTGAAAGGCATCTTCTATGGCTGGTTTGAGAATCAGAAGTAATCCCTATTTGTCCAATCAATCGCAAAATCAGTTAAGCAACACAATGCCACAGTGTCATCTGAGTGTGATGAAAACAGCCCCTTACAGTCATTATAAGACTTGAGTGAAATAATGCAGGAGGGAAAAAATTAATGACTCTCAAGGGAGGATTACTGAAGGTCAACACAATCTTCTTTTTGTGTATGTTTTTATTGAGTTTTTGTGCATTTCATATAATAGATCTTAATCAAATTTAGACCCTCTCCCCCATCTGCACCCCCCATAAAGCCGCCCCCATCCCCCGTCCGGATTTCGTGCATCCTGTCATATATGTTAAGGCCTATCCTGTCAAGCATTTGTACCTAAATGTCCTTGGTACAAGGGAGGGACCTCATGGGTGGCACTGTAAATACAGCCAAATACACATGGCTAGAGAGGTCACAGATCCTAGAAAAAAAATCCTATCTGTGTCATATCTCTAGACAAATGAAATTTTTTACTGTATGCTAAATATGGATCCTTATATTTACAAACAAGTTTACCATACACCACTCATCAAAGAAGCTTCTTTTAGCAGGAGAAAATTTTATAACGAATGCCACAAAAATTTTAAATGTATTTTGTTTCAAATAGTGATATTACTTCATAATTCTAAAAATGAAATTTCCCATTAGATATTAAAATTCATCAAGCATTGGGCACTTCTAAATAAAAATTCCAAGAATATCTGAAGATCTACCTAAAAAGGTCTTTAATAGCATCAAAGTAAAAGCCAATTTTGCTAAACACCCGAAAGGACTTAATTTGGGGACACAGATAGCAGAAGCAGGTGGGAGGAGGGGACATGTACAGGAAACCCCTTACCTGAGTCCAGAACAGCGGCTCACAGCAACGGCTGAATTAGAAATGCCTTCCACGTAGCCCCGATAATGACAGTGATTCTAAAATGAAAAAGACACACGATCTCCAAACACTGCTGCACTGCTGAAAAGCACCAGAGACACTGCAAGGCTAACAAAACTCCTGCAATCAATAACTTCTCCTGGCACAGTATGTTCGGACTACCTCAAGTCTGAAGACGACACCACATGTTCATGTTAAGACTAAGACCTGCTATCACCCAACAAGTACACAAACCCTCAGGCAGAATTCCAAAAAGATGCTGGTCACAGATAGCTCTGCCCTATGACCTTTCAGCCAGAAACATAACCAGCTGGTAGTGTGTCATGTTTAACACTTTCAATCACAGTCAACCCAAAGCATCAACAGCCAGCTGACAGGCCACACAGAAAAGGCCCTGTGAGAAGCTGAGAAGCCAGGGAGAAGGCCACTCAGCCTGAGACAACTGTCTGGATCAGGTGGATTTTTTTTTACCCCTGTGGGCATATTAGCTACATTAACACCATATATTTGGCCCTCTTCAAAAGCTTAAGTGCCTTTACCCTCAAATTTGAGCAAGAAATTACCAGCAAAAATACCAAAGGACAGTATTGCTCAATAATACTCATGAGGCCCTATGAGATTTTCTCATCTTTAAGATAATCACAAAGTATCATAATTAGAAAACAAGGCACAGGGAATTGTTGCCCTGCCCTGCCAGTCATGAAACCACACATCAGTCCAGTAAGTAAACAGGATGGCACTGGTGCACAGAGAACAGAAGAAGAGTCAACAAAGCACATGCGAGACAAGCAGTGTCTGAGAACACAGGCGAAGATGCGGTTTTAATGAACATGGCTCAGTCCACTGAGCAGAGGTATGGAAAACAGTAGAATTCACACCATGTAAGAGACACCTTTTATCTAGCACTCAGGAGGCAGAGGCAGGTAGATCTCGAGTTCAAGGCCAGCCCCATCTATACAGCGAGTTCCAGGCCAGTTGGGGCTACATACTGAGAATCTGTCTCTAAAGAAAAAAGAGAACAAATTCCAAATGGACCAAAAATCCAAATATTAAAAATTGAAAGTATGTAAGACTCAGAAGAAAATATATGCAAATTCTTCTTTAACCTGGATGAAGAAAAGGCCTTTCTGTCAATCACTTAAAATCAAGATGCACCAGGGCTGGAGAGATGGCTCAGCGGTTAAGAGCACTGACCACTCTTGCAGAGGACCCGGGTTCAATTCCTAGCACCCACATGGCAGCTACGAACCATCCTTAACTCCAGTTCCAGGGGAATCCGAAGCCCTCTCCTGACCTTCATGGCATTGCACGACACGAGTGCACTCACACATGCAGGCAATGCAGTCATACACATAAAATTAAAAAATAAAGATATTAAAAAAAAACTAGATGCACCAATGTGCTGATGTATGCCTGTAATCCCAGCACTCAGGAAGTTGAGGCAGAAGGATCTAGAGTTCAAGGCCAACCTGTTAGACCCTGAATCAAAAAAAAAAAAAATCTAGATGCAATAAAAGAAAAAACTAAAAATCTTTACATACACACACACCAAAAAAAAAAAAAAAATCTTGAGACAACTGAAAGAAAATGTTTGTACCTTACATGAAAAAAGGGTTAACAACCCTAAACTTAAAGAACTCTTAAATATTGAATAGGAAAGACTAAAAGCCCAATAGAAAATTGGACAAAGGACATGAGATCTACAAGTGATCTTGCATATGTGGAAGGATTTTCAGTTCTCTTCATATCAGAGAAGGAATCCCTGAGTCTGTGTTCCTTAGAGTGGAAAGCACCAAAGAACACAGAAACAGTGGCAGACTGTAAGTCACCATTTGACAACCATCACAGCAACAAATGATTCAGGCAAACATTGAATAATGAAACTGGTGAGCAAAACTGGAGGAGGGATGGGATTTGCACAGTCCCCAAACCACCACAATATTACTTTAAAGGGAGAAAATGTAACTTTTTCAATAGTAACTTTCCAGTGGAGAAACCTGGATGGCAGCTCTTTAACCAGGTTATCAGCCCTGCATCAGACAGCAGGACTGGTGCTGATCTGGCAGCATCTGTGCTGATAAGACACAGGGAAAACAAAGCCGGCCAGCACCAGTAGGTGACCCCTGAATCCACCAACTGGAAGCTATGCACATAAGTTGCTTTTATGAAGAATTTCCACAGTTTGAATTTAGTTCTGCTGCAGTTACTTTATCTGACCAGATCTAACAAGATAAACCTAATATCTCTTGTTTTCTTAACACGAAAAGCCTAAACTCACTACAGGAGGAAAGCCTGCAGTTTGTCAACACACTTGGGCAGACTGTTATCACATACCCTTGGCCTCTATTTAGTCCCACAGAGAAACATTAACAAACCACCATCTGTTCATGGGCCAAATGAACTTTGTCCCAGATCACTACATGTTCTATAAGCCTATACAGCTCTCCTAAAAAATTACTTACTATTCCTCTGACATGTTCTACCTCTCCAGAGCCTCCCCCAGAAATAACAGAGTATATGCCTCCCTAAATGGTGTTGGGCGCACAGGCAGCCATTTTCTTTCATGTGTGTCCTTTCCCTTTTGTGTGTTAATCTTATTTGTTTTCTCTTATTTAATCTTTGTCAGTTCATTCTAGGAAACCTTCAAAGGATGGAGGGAAAATTTCCCTTCACCAGTATAGCTCTCAAAAACATATTTGTAAGTTTATAAAATTTCTAATTGAATTACAAGTCCTCAATAAGGACACAGCTGACAGACACATTCTGAACAGGAAAACTGGGGTAGAAACTCTGGCTAGTAGAAGCAGAGTGGCCCACCCAAGGGCCCAGGGAGCCTCGGGAACAACTACTACAGAGCGGCCCACCCAAGGGCCCATGGAGCCCCGAAAAAGTGTGTTCTCAGATGAAGTGAGAAGCAGCAATTCAGTCTGAGGTCAAAGCTATGGGAATTTCTCATGCACTGCAGGAGTCCCAAGCCATCAGAGTGTGGGGTCTTAGCTCACACAGCAATTCATATTGCTATTTTCTTATGAAAAATGGCCTTGTGAAAGACACTGATGCTGAAATTTCGCCAGGCACTAGCTTTATAAATTACTCAATAATAAGAGTAGAATCTTGGGACTGGAGAGGGCTCAACAAGTAAGAACACTGGCTTCTCTGGCAGAAGTCCCAGGTTCGAATCCCAGCACCCATGTGGCAGCTAACAAATGTCCATAACTCCAGGTTCAGGGGATCTGACACCCTCTTCTGTCCTCCATAGGCCTTGCACAACATGGGTACACTTACATACATGCAGGCATAACATTTATACAAATAAAATAAGAATAAATAAAATATTTAAAAGAATAAAATGTTAAAGGAAAACATTTCCATCTTCAGTGTGATTTAATTGCATATTGTAGACAAAGGCATATGTCATTAAGATCAGTGACAATCTCACCACATGCAAAGAAATCAGGGCAACCAAGTTCAAATTTGTGTTTGAAGCCTATAGTGATTTTCATTTACCTAAACAATACTAAATAACAAGGAAATAAGTGAAATACCCATATGATGTCATACTTGTATTTTTCAAACATCTAAGAAAGTTTCACCGTTCAGCTACATTAGTTTCTATATAATTGAAACCATCTTCACAGCTGTAAGTCCATATTCTTTCAATAACAAATAATAGGTATACTTATTTAAAATTGTCAGACTGCCTTTTGCAAGTATCCCACAGATAATGACTCATTCAAGTTTCATGACGTAGTAGCTATTATTCCCATGTTAAGGTACAAACAGGCTGCTGTAACGCCACCAGACAAACACAGACCCAGAATTCAAGCTTAAATACTGTATGTCCCAAGAAACCATGGAAAAAACCTCCACAAAGGAATAAGGATGCCATTTAGGGTCCCTGCTTAACTGGCATTAATTGCATGCTCTTTGGCTTGCTGCCATAGCAATCTTTGGATGGATGAAAAGATGGATGAATCATCTTTTATCTTGTGTATACTATGATGTAAATTTAATCTCTTCTACCAATTTCCTGTTAAAGCACAAACAGTGCACTAAGATAAAGGAATCAGACAGTAGACTGGAAACGGCACAGTCAGCATTTCCTTTTTTTTATATAACACAAACTAAAGAATTTGTCTTCTGTTTATTTGAAGAGTGATACAAAAGTTCATTACTAAGAAATAATTCAATCTATCAGAGCACTATGAAGTTCATGGGAAAAAAAAGATCACATTTAATGGGAACAAAGATTTCTCATGAAAATTATTACAAAATAAAAACTGTGAAATACCAGTAATACCAAACTGCCAAAATGGACTGTAAAACCTTCCTTCTGAGAAAAACTAGAAATGTTTATGCTCCAAGAAGAAAACCACACAAGGCCAAGTTCGGTATCTGCCAGTTACTTGGAGAACCCAAGCCAGCTCTGCCCCCAAGAGTGTTCTCTGCCCTACACAAGAGGACCACACCTCTTCAGAAAAGCAATGTGAGCAAAAACTCAGAACATCAGAATATATCAGCAAACAAGTGCATTTCTTTGCAAGACATGAGTGACAAAGACATGCTTTTAAATATTAACATTCTACCAGAATAGTAAAATTTCTGCCTTCAAAGCATCACTTTTCCCTGTCACAGTCAGGATTCTCCCAGTCTTCAAAACACAAAGCTTAACTACTGAGCACAGGAGAGCTGTCAGTACGTATCAGTCTCCCCAGGGCCACTCATGGGAGGCTGTTAAAGGTGTCCTGTGAGCTTGGCAGTCAGAGCACACTTTAAAATTACAATGGTTTTAACGTCCATAAAGTATCAAGGAGGAAATGCAGTACCTGTACTTTGGGGTAGTTGGAGATCAGAGAGTCTTCCTCATCATAGGAATAAAGTACAAAATCTTCAGGCAAAAGGTCTCTGGAAGAGGAATAAGATGTGTCATTTATATTAAATATCAGCAGCCTGGGACACAACTCATAAGACAGAATTCCCAGAAGATACGAGCAAAAATTAGTTTAAAGGAAAAAGAAAACTTTCACTGGATCCATTTTTAAAGAATGTGCTACTGTAAAACATCAAAAGCTCATAAAACAGACTTGAACTTGAAACAGGGTACATAACTTAAGTAATGTTAAGATGCAATTTATCCTAATGGCATAAAATGCTGATTGTAAAAATCATAATACAAACAGCATCCTTAAATTTTTGCACTATAACTCACAGGAATGAATCAGGTTGCTTGACAATGTGTTGTATTTGTAGAAGAAAAATAAATATTTTTATATTCTTTTCTCTAAGTACTAGGTAAACAAAAAGCACCATTGCCTTAACCTAAGTACAAAGTCTGCTGTCAGTTGTTGAAGGAAACATGACTTCCAATTCCCAAAGCTTCCCCGGTCTAAGGGAGTGGTTGTGTAAACCAGGGCAAGGCAAGGCTCTCTCATACTGCAACTCTGAGCTCATCTCCAGGCCTTGTGGAAAATCAGACATGCTTTGTTCTACCTTGTAGTTTACAGTGCACCAGTTAAAGTTCAAAGTCCCCAAGAGACACCAAGGACCAACCACCCATGCTATTCAGAGATGGAGAAACAATGGTTCTCACTCAATTTAACTGATTACCCTGCCTGACTTTTGGCACACAATCATCACTGTGACACAGAAAGCCTTCGTGAAACTGCCTCCACTCTCCTGCATACAGGAAGCTTCTTGGTAGCTGCTCATTTGGAGACAAAGCTGTCCCTACATCAAACAAAAGAGCCTGTGCCATTCTAACCGCTCAAAGACCACTGAGCTCTCTTCACCCCAGTACACTCCATCTTTGGGAAGTCTTTGCAAGCAGGCTTCCAAGTAGCCCGTGGACTTTCACAAGCTGACCCACTGGGGCACTGTAGTGTCATCCCACCGACATGCACATGCACACAAACACACCCTGCACTCTCTAGAGGTGAATACAAAAAGAATAAACTGGAGATGTCTAGCTTCCCTCTGCCCTAGCCTCTGGGAAGTCACAGGCTGCTCAGCCGTCACAGATCCTTGTGGCCTTCTCCAGAGGGCATGCCCACGAATGAGTGATGCTGACATCAACAGCTAAATCTGCTAATTCTGGAGCTCAGAATATACTAAGCAATGTCCACCTAGAAAAGAAATCAATACACTATTGAGGAAAAAAATTACTAAAAAACAAAGTAAATAAAATTTCTTACATATTTCTTTCCAAATGAATAATATGCTGCTTTCCTTGAGTCTCGATGACATAAGATACCTAAATTCACAGAGAAGGAAAAATGTAGTAAAATACCATGTTGCAATTACTTTCCATCATATCATTTATAAAAGACAGGAAAACCCACCCTGAATTTAAATAACTTGGGAGGGCTGGAGGGATGGCTCAACAGTTAAGGGTACTGACTGCTCTTACAGAACACCTAGTTCAGTTCCCAGCACCCCAAGTAACTCCAGTTCCAAGGGATCTGACACCTTCTTCTGGCTTCCACAGGCATTGTACAACAAGGGTCCACTTACACACAGGCAGGAAAAACACTCATACGTGTAAAAAAAAATTTTTTTTAAATAACTTGGTACTGACTACAGCTGACCTGGAACTTGCTATGTAGACCAGACTGGCCCTTGATCTCAGAGATTTGCCTGTCTCTGCCTCCCCAAATCCTGGGATTAAAGACATGCACCCCATAACCAGAATATTCTTAAATAATAAAAATATATTCATCTCTATGCCCCTTTAATAACTTACCATGGAAAACTGCCTGCATATTTACCTAAGCGCTTCTTAAATTCATTCATACATCAGCTGTAACCTCAGGAATTATTTTTGTGTTTTTACATACTGTTTAAATAAGTTTCAAAGGATTATCTAGTTATGCAAAAGTGAAAGAGGAACTCATTCTGTCTTATGACCTCGTAACTGGGCTGTGTGTCTCGTCCATTCTAAACTCCTTCCCTCCTCCACTACCGCCTCTGGAGCATGTTGTGCAAACGTGGCAGCCTCCTGGCAGCACATCTATTCTTGATTCCTGGTTCATCAGGTTTGCAGATTAACTAGGCAACTTTCACACCCTCATCTTCAAGCTCATGGGACTCCCCTTCTCTACCTCAACCAACTTCTCTAATACTAATTATAGAACAAACTATTGGTCTTAAATGCTCCCTCAAAGGCCACATGCAAAGGCTTGGTCCCGGGGTGAGGCACACTGGAGGGTGCGATAGGCCTGCGGAAGCTGTGCCAGGTGGCCAGGCCTTAGTCACTGGAAGGGACTGTTTCTGTTTGTCCTTGCTGCAACCTGTGCTTCTGCCATATGCCCTTCGCCACAGGCCCAAACCAGGGGGTCAATGGGCTCTATTAGTCAAAATGAACTTTTTCTAAGTTAATTTTCTCGGGTAGTTCATTACAATGTTAGAAGTCTAACACACCTAGCAACTCCTCATTTCATTAAACAAAAGAGGGAAATGTGATCTCTAGAACTTAATTTAACTTTTTTTTAAAGACTCTTTAATAAAAATGGAAGTCATCAGGCATGGTGACCCATCTGTAAGCCCAGGACTTGGGAGGTGGAGGAAGGAAGATTAGGAGATCGAAGTCAGTGTCTGCTCTATAGTGAGTTTGAGACCTGCCTGGGCTACATGAGACCTTGTCTCACTGCAAACAAAAAACAGCAACAAACAAGCGAACGAATAAAATGAAAGTCATGGAGGGACTCAGTAGGTAATATAAGCATCTACTTAATTCCCTACTATTTCCAGACACTAAGCTGAATTTTTACCATGAGCAGCAGCAACTCCCCAGGGCACATCTACAATGGCTTTGAAGGGTGAGATCAGTGCTGCACCCAGCACTCTACCTCCACACCCTGCACACTCTCTACTTCTATCTCCAGCAACGGCAGCAAGCTGCTTTGTCCTCAGTTTCGTGTCCACCTTTTCTCTCCTGTCTGCTTATCTCCACTGAGAAGAAATCCGAAAGTCAGAGAACTTGAGAGCTGTTTTATAACACAATACTCAACTCCAAAACACATGCGTGGACTGTTCACTCCCCTCCTATGTTAGTCACTTTCCATCCCTGTGGCAAACACCTGAGAGGATCAACTTAGAGGAGAAAAAGGCTACTTGGGCTTATAGTTCAGCTGTGGTCAGTTGGTTCCACTGATTTGGGGGCGGGGGGGCTGTGATTAAGCTGAACCTCATGGTGAGGAGTATGTGAGAACTCAGAGCAGCCAGGAAGCCCAGAAAGAGAAGAAAGGGAGAGGCTGGAGTCCACAACAGCATACCCCACGAGGTCCCATGTGCTAGAAGTTCCACCATCTCCCAACTGTGCTACGGGCTGGTGACCAGGCCTTTAAGGCATGAACCCTTGGGAGTCCTCCAGAGACCTAGCCTGTAAGGCATTAACCTTCGGGAGCACTCCAAACCCAAGCTATAGCACCTCCTCTGGATTCACTCAAGGTCACCTTCTCAGTAAGATGCTCCCCACCACCTATTAAAAGGTGCAACTGTCCCCACGCAGCACCACACCCAGCTATTCCCGCTCCCTTCTGCTTCACTGCCCTCCATGGCACTTAGCACCATCCAAGTAACATGCATCTCTTACTGCTGACTGCCAGTCAGCTAAGGATCCGAACTCCACACAGCTGGCTACAGAGTTCTACTTACTTCATTCTGTTATGTTCTAAATTGATCATTTTATCTTTGAAAATAAAAAAACTAAGGCTCAGTCTGTCACTTTTGTTGGAATAATAGTCGATAGATACCAATACTATATGAAGCTGTACCCACTAACTACTCCCTGAGCCAATCAGTACACAAATACCACCTTTCAGGGTTGGGGATTTAGTTCAGTGGTAGAGTGCTTGCCTAGCAAGCGCAAGGCCCTGGGTTCAGTCCTCAGCTCCGGAAAAAAGAAAAAAAAAGGGGGGGGAATTTTATTATAGTCATAGCTCTTCAGAGATAACTTACCTGTTCTGAATAAGGCCTCGGGGCTTCCCTTCTTTCTCTAGTTAATCTCCAAGGAGTTATAATTTCATAAGAAGAAAGATGCATGGTCTCTTGGAAGCCTGCCTCAAAAAGAATAACAAATATAACAAAGTCGATCTGAAAAACTGCATAGCACCAAAATAGTGAAAATCCAAAGCTCAATGGTCAAACCATGAAAAATTCTGTGATGCTCACAGTGTTAAAATATGCAATGCAAATAGCTCTATATAGCATCTCTCTGAAACATCAATGTACCAGGTAAACATGAGGGCAAAATGGGTCCCTAAAGAGGATGCAGTCTTTACCACACAGCACATATGCTGCGATCATTTTCAAACATCTTGTGTCTGTCTACCCTAACCTTTTTTTCTCTCAAAATCTTTTTTAAAAATTTTGAAAGAACACAAGAACGTTGGTGGGAACTTGGGGTGGGGGACACCATCCTAGATGTGCCAATAGTTTCATAGGAAATGACTACCATGTCCATGAGAAAAAACTGCATAAAATTTATTAACAGTTGAGAATAGCCATGCACTTTTAGAGTCTAAATTACTACTTCAGCAAAAACTGAGTACAATCAAAACTAGAAGATAGAGCCAGGCATGGTAGTACACATCTTTAACCTCAGCACTTGAGAAGCAGAGGCAGGTGGATCTCTGTGAGTTCAAAACCTGCCAGGGTTCCACAGGGAGACCCTGTCTCAAAAATTTAAAAACAACAACAAACTAGAAGATACCTGTGCTGGAGGTGGATGTAAGTCACTTAATTTAATAAGTCCAACATAGTCTTTCTCTTATAACGCCAATACTAAGGGCACAGCAATTCTTTTTTGTTGCTTTGAGGTATCAGTTTTGGGGGAGCGAGCTGTGCTTTGGGGGCTTTTTGTTTTGAGATAAGATTCGTCAGACTGGCCTGAAACTCATGATCCTCCTTCCTCCACAGGAGTGCCAGGATCACAGGAGCTGCCAGCACACCCAACAACCACTGTAAAAATTCTTCTAGGGAGAGAAGTCTGATAAAGCAGATAGTTATCATCTAAGGGCCACAAATGAGAAACCAAATGCAAGGAATTTGTAAATTAGAAGCACCTATAACCAAATGTAGTATATGGACCTGTTTGAATCCGTTGGGGGGGGGGGAGTGTTGTTTTGTTTTGAGACAGAGTCTCACTATGTACACCTGGCCAGATCTGCCAGCCTCTGCCTTTGAAGTGCTGGGATTAAAGGCATCTGCAGCTAATCTGGAAAATTTTGGCCCTGAGTAAATGATCTTGAGGAATTACAGTCATTTTTCTACATGTAAATAAACACACTGTGGTTAAGATTTTATGTTTTTAGGGCTCAAGAGATGGCTCAAGAGCACTGGCTGTTCTTGTAGAGGACCTGGGTTCACTTCCCAGCACCCACATGATGCCTAACAATCCTCCATACTCCAGTACCAGGGGATCCAACACTCTCTTCTGACCTCTTCAGGCACTGCACGACATGGGTTCACTTACGTACATGCAGATAATACACATAAAATAAAAATATCTTTTAACATTTTGTTTTAGTGATATAGTCCTGATGGTAATGTGTTTATAATGAATATGGACTTTGCCACCACTGTATCACCTCTGAAAACAGTAACAGTGTTTCTTCAATAAAAATGACATGAACTGTATTAAAAGATTACCTGGATCTCTTCCTTTGTGTCATTCCTGTTTTTTTGGGGTTTTTTGTTTATTTGTTTTTGTTTTTGAGGTGCTGGAGGTTGAATCCTGAGCCTCACACATGCTAGGCAAGGGCTCTCCCACTGAGACTTCATCAGGCCACACCTAAGGTTCTAAGGTAGGCTGTCCACTTGGTCCCCTGACACACCCACTTCTTTGATCCAATCCATATTCTTGTTCACTCATTAACTACCCACATCCCTCGGATATCTCAAATACAGATGAAGATGCAGTGTTTACATCTAACTTTCCCCAAGATAACAATGTATAAGAATATTTATAACCTTGGGCTGGACAGATGGCTCAGCTGTTAAGAGCACTGACTGCTCTTGCAGAGGACTCAGGTTCAATTCTCAGAACCCAAATGGCAGCTAACAACCGTGTGAACTCCAGTTCCAAGGGATCTGACGCCCTCTTCTGGCCTCTGTGGGCACTGCATGAGCACAGGTGCACCCACCTACATGCAGGTATGACACTCATACACATAAAATAAAAATAATCAAGTATTTTCTAAAATGTTTATAACTTTGTCTAGGATTCAAAAGACACCAACATGAAAATACAAATAATACAAATAATAGCCTATCCAATACATGTCATACTAACAGTTTTCAAACTCTTAATCCACCCTTATGGAATGTTAGACTGCTTAAATGTGGCATCGGATCGTTCTACTAAAAGCATTAGAAATGGACTCCAGTCATCCCCAAGGCCCCAACGGGCTGAATCAAGGCATTTTTATGGTATACCATGATCAACTAACATCTAGATAAAGTTTTTAATTGGGAACTATGTCAAAAAACTCTGATACACAGTTACTAGGCAGAAATATCCACAGCCCCACACTAACTGAAGTAGGAGACTATTTGCTCCTCTAAAATACACCTCTCAGTGACCTTCAGCTCTCTCAAACTCCCAAAGCGTTTCAGTGCTGTTCTTAAGAATCTCCCTCTGTGCTCCACCACCAGGCCAGTCACTCTACAAATGGTGAGAAATAAAACATTTTGTTGGGTAACAAAGTTTGTGATTAAAAATAAAGTATCCTGAAGCCAGGCATGGGGGAACATGCCTGTAATCCCAGCACACAGGGGAGGTAGATGCAGAAAGATGAGAAGTTTCAGGTCAGCATCAGCTACACATAAGCCTGCCTGAGTACATTTCTTTCCAACTCCTGCAACTCTGAAAGTATTTCAAATAAAAAGTTTAAGAACATTAGCTGATCGACACAGAGGGCTGTGACAGTTGAGGCTAAACCATGGAAGCTGAACCTGAAATGTTTTCATTACAGCACAGAAGCGAACCTCACAGAGGAAACAACAAAATGCCTCAGAAAAGGTAAAATCTGTAGTTCTAACAGGCAGGCAGATATTTCAAGAGCACTCATTCCAAAACAGGTGAACTGAGTTTGGAAAGCCCTGAGCACACTTTTAGGCCAGGCCAAGAAGCCAAGTCCTCTGCCTTCTAGGGATCTTTTATCCAGACCAGAGGCAAGGAAGGAAAAGTCAGAGACCAGAGTATGAGGGAGAGCGTTCTTGTGCTTCTCAGTTTAAAATACAACTTTTATTTTGAAAAAAAACAAAATGCCACAATTAACCATCAATATTTCTTAAGGCTTTCAAAATTATAACACCACAAAATAACTTCTGCGCGTGAGTTATTACACTGATACCAACTTCTTCCAAAAAAATTCAAGCATCCTGCTTTGAATTAAAGCCATGCCACAGAGTTCTGAAGCATCATCAACAGCTGTACGAAGTCCAGCAAGGTCATTCAAAAACGATACACAGTGACTCATGAGAAGCTCCTCCTTGTGTTTTCAAACTTCTTTCTCATCTCTATTTGTTTGCTTTCCCTTATCTCCTGTCTTTCCCCAAAGTCCCCTAATTCCCCTTCTCATGGGAACCAAATTCCACTTCTCCCTACTGAACAGGAGGAACATTTAACTTTCACATCATGGACATTGGGGCTGGAAAAATCTTGGTTGTGGGGGTCATTCTGTGTACTGTGGTTTGGTAACAGCCCTGCTTCCACTCACCAGATGCCAACACTAGTTCCTTCAACTGATGTGTCTCCT